CTTTGTACAAAGGGCAGGGAAAGTGAGTGTGTGTGTGTGTGTATGTGTGTGTGTGTGTGTCTGCTTTCACTGAATACCCCACCCCCTCAGCCAGAAGAGTGCCTGGCTTCTGATAGACGCATAATGAAATAAATGAATGTTCTACAGAACAACAATGAGCGGCGGTGGTGATGTGGGTGAAATACAGGGTCACTAATCACAACGGCAAGGGAGCCCTAGTGGTGTAGTGAGCTGTGCAGTGGGCGGCTCACCACAGAGCCAGCCGTGTGAACACTGGAGAAAGGTGAGGCTTTCTCCTCCCACTAAGATTTCGTCTTGGAAACCACAGGAGCAGTCCTACTCTGTTCTATAGAGTAGCTGAGTTGGAATCAACTCCATGGCAGTGAGTTTGAGTTGAACCACAAGTTCATTGGTTAGAACCTATCAGCAGCTCTCTAAGATAATAGTGAGGTATGTGGAAACCCTCAGAAACCCTAGGAAGCAGTTCTACCCTGTTCTGCTCTCTAGGAGTGCTCCTGAGTCAAAATCAACCAATGGCAGTGAGTGGTCCGCAGAAACACATTTGAGAGAGGATGTCGCTTTCTAGAGACACTGCCCAAGAGGATGGGTATGTTAAGGTCTTAGAACTAACTAACAATCACCTACACAACCATAATGCTTCTTGTTGGAACAGATGAACACTGATCATTTGCTGATACCAAGCAACAGATACTATGAACTCTTTAAAACAAAGTTTGGAAACCAGCATGTTCTAAAATCATTTCCTGGGACATAAGTCTGGCCAGGAACACAGAGGTATATGCATCTGTTAACATCCATGTGAAATGTTGTCTAATTTGGACACTGTGGGAACACTACATTAAAACCTACAGGAGCCCTCTTCTGCTTGGCCTTATTGCTGCTATTGCTGCCGGAGGAACAGGTGGCGGGCAACTGAAATGGGGGCTGCTAATACAGAGCAAGCAGAGCGCACCTGGCCCTGCCCCTGCTTCCCCCCACCTGCCCACCAGTCAAAGTCAGATAGAGAGCCTATGCTGAGTCATGTCCTCTGCCTTACCTCTCTGTATCACCCCTGTACTTTCAAGAGTCTGGATTTGAGGTCTTTAAACCAATGACACTCTAAAGTGACTCACTGCCAACAAGACAATTCTGAATGACAGCGATCCTCCAGGTCAGAGGAGAACTACCCCTGTGGGTGTTGGAGGCGGCGAATCTCATCTTTCTCCCTCGGAGAAAGCATCCTCTTTCTCCCTCGGAGCAGCTGCTGGTTTTGAATAATGGTGACCTTCTTGTTGGCAACACAACGTGTAACCCACTATGCCACCAGGGATCCTCTTAAAAATTGCTAGGGGGGAATAAAAAAAAAAGTAAGAACTGCTTTCTTTAAAAACGAAAAACAAACAAAACCTTTATGATACCTTGGATGTATATGCAGTTGGAGGTTAATGCAAACAGAAGTTACCTTGACACACACCTGTACTTGGAAAAGCAGGAAGGGCGTTTTTAGGTTTAGAAGAGCTTTTCTAAAGCAACAGCTCCTTAAAAGCACAAAGGTTCACCAGAGCAGCAGCAACAGTGTATTTTATAGTACTTCCAAGTTGCAAAGGGCAACTTTCCTGGTATTATTTGGGGAGTTAAAGTACCACCACCACCACCACCCTCCAGTCTGGAAAGTGCCTGCAGAGAAACAAGTAGAAGGTTTTCTTTGCCTTTAATGTTTTTTCATGCAGTGGTCAGAAATATGAAATAATATGGGTTTCCCCTATATAACTTGAAAAATGATAAGTGAGACTCTAGAATGTTTCATCACTTTGTTAGGAAGGTAAAGTCCTATTATGTTCAGAGAACTCATTTTTTGAAAAACAAAAATAAAACATTTATCTTCGGTGCTAAAGAATGAGCAGTGGACCTCACATTATGTGTGACAATATTGGAATTCATGAAAATAAAAGCGCTTAATTTAAAATAAATTATATTGTGATATACAGAAGAACCAGGTAAAATCTAGCTATATTATTAAGCGGGATGGGGGGGTGAGAGTCAATTTTTTTGTAAAAATAATCTTGAAGAAAATGAAATATATAAATATAACCATATATTTAAGCCACCTAAAATAACGCCAAGCAAGTATGTTCTGGAATTAGAAGATGTAGCCAGTTGGAAAGAGAAAATAAATATTCAGCTTACAGACAGATTTTAGGTAAATAATCTCTAGAGTTCATGAGAAAAACATTAACACTTAAAGAAGTAACTTGATTTTTAATTTAATTTTCTGTACAAATTAAGTCTCTTAATATTTCATACTTTTTATTTGACACTTCATTCTCATACTTCAAAGATACAATACAGGCAATTTATTTCTTTTGGTTTATATTCTGCCTGTTTTGGTTTGTTTCCAAAGCTATTTTTAAATCTCTGATGAATAATCACTTCTCTCTATAAAAAAATAACATGTTTTCTGAAATCTTGTGCAAGTAACATAAATCTTAATACATAAAGCTTAATGAAAGATACAGTATCATTTCACAGAATTAGCACAACACATAAGAAGTGTAAGAATTAAAAATTAGAAAATCCAAAATCCATAGTTTGCATTAGTAAGTGTGCCAAGACATTGTAGCAACACCCTACACTTTGCTGGCCTTTCGCTGTTGTGAGATGACTGATGAGTTCGTGTTACTTTTTTATTTATAAAATAAAGGTTCTTCTTCTGGTAATTTGGTGTAACGATACACATATATTAACTTAACAGTTGTTTGCCAATGACAAAAAAGGAAAAGTGTTTATAAACCCCAGCACATCGATACTTTCAAAAGCTAAGGGAAACTTACAATGACCCTAACTAAGATTAATGAGTATCTTCACATTTAATTTGTGAAAGGGACAAACATCCACATGCCCATATTGTTTGAGGATGGAAATACACTAAGGTGGTGCTGACCTCCATATTTCAAAAAGGAAATACTCCTTTTGAACTAAGTTGTTCATACAAGTAAAGAAGAAAAGCTGATTTTATCATAAATGACGTGCATGATTCAAACTTGTTTCATTGACCTATGCAGAATCATAAAATGTCAACAATCATTTTATTTTCTTTAAGTAGAAAAGAAATGCCAGAGTCTCCAAGAATTAAAAATTCTAACTTGCTTCTTTCAGTAAAACATTTCACACATCGGGTAGGAGATTTTTCAAGCCCGCTACAGAAAAAGGAAATAGGCAAAACAACGGCATAATAAAGCATAGATGAGAATTCACAACAGGCAGGAAGGAAACGAAATTCTTGCTGTTCAGAGCTCAATAAGTAAATTGGCTGGGAAATCTAATACACTTACTGTCCAGCTACGTTTACACAGACCTAAAATCAAGAGTAGAGAAGGAAGCGGATTTAAAGGGGGGTTGGGGGTGAGGGCGGGGAGAGAAGAGTCCCTGACTAGAAAGAAGATGATCAAGCACCTCTCTCTGACTAGAGAACCACAGAGACGACTGACAGACGTGCTCATCAGTGATGGCCACCCTGGAATAAAGAAAAGAAGAAGCAGAGAAGACATGAAATAAAGGAAACTAAAGTTTTCTTTAGGGAGTGAAAAAAACAAAGTTAATTTCTTATTAAATCTTGATAAAAAAAATAAAAGGTAAAGTAATATAAGACTTCTGTTTTAAACCTTTGGCTGTAATGACTAAAATCAATTGGAAGTATGTGATGAAAAGCAAAATGGGACTCAACTTCTAGAAATATAATATCAATAAACAGTTCCTTTCATCATCAAAACGAGATGAAACTGAAAGAGAATGAAAACAGCCATCAGGTGAAAATGTGGTCCATCAAGCTTCTCCAAGAAGAGAAAGACGTGTATTAGAGACTGAGGGCATGCCGGCCTCTCGGTGGAAGTTTAGAGAAGGAGAGCAAGGGAGGGGAGCTCTTAGCTAAACACGAACCATGAATAACATCATATGGCAAAATGTAAAATCATAAAGGGTACAGAACATGCAGTGAAATAACGATCTATGAGTCAAAATATAGTTATTATTACTTGGTTTTCTGTTGTCTTTACTTAATTTTTCTGGAGTGACAGAAATATCCAGAGAGCAAAATTAAAAGCAACTCATGGGAAAGCAAAGTATGTTTCACTGACGAGGGCTCTTATTATCTAGAAGATACAACTTTTTAGCGTATTTTTAGATTTCATGGGCAATAAGAGCAATTTAGATGTATAAAAACAAATTTATTAGCAACTTCCCACCAGTTTGAAGATGGAAAAAAGACAAGCTTTATGAAAATAATCCTAATGTCCTTGTACTCCTGATTTTGCCTAAATGTAGTTGAGAAACTAGCTATTAGTGGATATATATTACCACATATATCCTGTATAAGATGAATTTCATTTTGGTCAATACATTCTAAATTACATAATCAAAGATAATTACAAAGCTTTGACACAAACATTTGGCAACAAAAATAATCAAATAATTATTAAACAGATATTTATAGTTGATTTATACATATATATAAATATATGTGTAGTAAATGAAGTGAGTTCATTTATAATTGAACGTTTTCTTCTTATCTTTACATGTAAGCAAAATAAAACAAAACAAAACAATATATAAGTATCCAACAGAGCTTGAATTTGAAAACTGCTGGAGATTAATTTAGTCAAATTTAAAAAAACTGAGAGAGAACAAAATATGCATAAAAACTCATTTTACACATACAAACACATTTTAGGCAAACATGTAAATATGGATATCTATTTCCAAAGCATAATACAACAAAGCATGATACAAGAAAAGTAACACGAATACATTCGGATTTTGTTTTTTGTTTTTAACTGAAGTTTGGTATAATTATTAAATTCAAGTCTAATTTTAAAGGGTAGCCAGTTTTAAGTAAATTCTAATTTTTTTCCCACTTGTAATTGTTATAAGTATGACTAATCTTTTAGAGCTACATACTTTCTTCAAAATAGCCTGTGCCTTCGCACGGCACTTGGATCACGTACCCATGCCTCCGTCTGAACGGGCCTGATGCTGCTGAGCAACACCTCTTCATAGTTTCCATAATCAATGAATTTAACTACTGCTGTCATTCCTGAAGAGTGGAGAGCTTCCACTTCTGCTCGGTAAAACTACAAAGACAAAAAGAAATTGG